AGATATATGTTTTTATAATATTTAAAGATACAAGCTATTTCAGCTAATAGAAACATCACACATGTATTCATGTATTATACATATATGTACAATTATAATTATTGTTATCAAATATAAACTAATTTATACTGTAAAATACTATATTTGTTTTGTTTTACATCTATATATTTTTATCAAAAAATTTGTAATAGATATTTTCAGATTTGATATCAAAAAGTCATACATTGACAAAAAATGTTGCCTATTTTAAAATATGTATATTGTGTTGTAAATCAACACAAAGCCATGACTTTTCCTCAAAACAATTGTTACATAAATACTAAAGTACTGGATGAAAGGGCTTAGGAACCTAGAATGTCATTACCAGGTCTGCACTGCACACTAGTGGCATGAGATAAGACATGCATGTGGGAATCTTTTCAAGTTAAATTGAAGGCTGGTTCTGTCTCAAAGCTTTGCCAATATTTGCTTCTAGCTTCATAAAGTGTACACCACACCATCATCACAGTAGTCACCCTGCTTTACATAGCACCTGACCCTGGTGTTAACCTTCTCCTAATTCTTCCTTTCCCCTCCTCTTCCTATCCTCTAGTAATCACAATTCTATTTTCAATTTCTATGAGATCATTTGTGATTTAATTTCATTTACGACTGAGATTATGAGGTCCATGTGTATTTGTGCCTGACTTATTACACTTAACCTTAATTATATCTAGTTCTTTCCATGTACTTACAAGTGACAGGATAAAATGTAGGAATGACTGTTATTAATGGACATAATCTTGACTAATAGAGTTTAATTAACCCCGACAAAGCCACGTGCCTAACCAGGGTGTCCTTTTGGCAACCTTAGTTTGGTGTGCCACCTTAAAAGATAGTAAATGAATGTGATGTGCTTGAGAATTAACATATCAAAGTACTTCAAGCAGCACACCCACCCATTGGACAGAGCTGGGGTTGGCAAGGATGAGTGACTTTGGATGAAAGTGAACTGAGGATGAAAAGACCAGATGCTCTGTGAGGATTAAGGGTGGAGCTGAACTTGAACTTGTACTTCCCCCATGAATCTGGAGAAAACATTTTGAATAAGTAATGAAAGTGGCCCGACCTGGGGACAGAAGGGGATCAAAGAGTTCCACAGTCAGTTCAACAACAGAGTGAGGACACAGACAACTCGATATGCCCAGGGGACAAGATCCATCGATAACAGTTCTGAGAGACATCTGGGAGAACAGGTGTCCTCTGGGTTCCGGCCCACTCTTAAAAATTTATTTTAGGAGTCAGGCTTTTACTTTCTTCAGGGTAGTTGTAATGTTGACACAATTAATAAAGCCCACAATAAATATTAATAGATTTTTATAATGAACTCAATGGCAGAAGTTTATTGATAGTAATGAAAGAACCTTATAAAGGCAAGTGGTTTCCTGAATAATGGAATACACTTGAGATAAATTGCTATTTTCAGACTGCTTTCTAAAAGAACATAAAAATTGTTTATAACAGATGGTAGGAGATAAGAAGATATATACAGCAGTGCTGTCCTGGGCATCCAGAATGACTGTGTCATGTAGTTTATCAATAAATATTTCACTATCTATATGCCTCCCAAACATCTGTTATACACCTCAAAGTATGTGCAATATGATTTTTAAAAGAAAAGAAATAAATAGCCTGGCATAGTGGCTCATTCCTATAATTTTAGTGCCTGGAAGGCCAAAGCAGGAGAATCGTCATGAATTTGTGTTCAGACTCAGCTCCAGAATGAACAAGAACCTCTCAAGTATTTGAAAGAGATGAAGAGCAGAGAAAGGAAATAAAACCAGGATAACAGTGTCAGAACAGGATCTCTTGTCTTGAATTCAGTTAAGTTCACTGTCTCTAAGTGATTTCAAATAGTCCTCTTTTAAACAAGCTCCAGGTTTTACCACACTTTCTGTCTGCCCAGCCTTAGCCTTGTTTCCTTCTGCCACTTTCCAGAAAGAAAGCCTTGACTACCCTGTTTTCGGTGCAACAGTTCCCCAGCAGCTTTCATGTTTGGTACCTTTGATCTTTCCAGCTCTTCGTACTTCCATTTCCATAGAGACAAGGCTGACTCCAGTTGCTCTATTTCTTTTTCCAATGCTGCACGAATTCTAAATAATTTAAGAATTAAAACAAAATTAAGTGAACTTTTAAATAACTTTAGGTATCCATAAAATTTTATGTTTCCTATTTTCCTAAATTCTTGTATTTATTATAGGAAAATGTATTTTGCAACTATTCAAAAATACAAATAATCAACAAAACCACTTATTCTGTTAACTTTATCATACCTTCAATATGTTTAATATGAAATTGTTACTATTAGTTTTCTGCCTGCTTCTTCATGCATATTTCATGCATTTCTCAATTCCTCTTAATCATATTATTTCTATATATAGAAGAATATTTTGTATACCTTTCTGTGAGACAAAATCACAAAGGCAGCCCCAGCTGGCCCGGAACTCACTATGTAGACCAGACTGGCCTCGATCTCACAGAGATCTTCCTGCCTCCTCTTCCTGAGTGCTGGGATTAAGGGTGTATGCCATGTATACTTTTGAGATGATTGTTATCAAAAGCCACATTGTGGTTATCTAAGAATGAAGAATCTTCCTAGCTGACTCAAAATGCCAAAGGAGTCTTTCTTTTGTAGTGTTAAAAACCCATACTTAAATTAGCATGGTGGCATTTGCCTGTAATCAGAACACTCGCTAAGTAAGACATTGGGACCATAAGGTAAGGTCAACCTGTGTTGTATATTCAAAAGAAAAATCAATCTTGGGACTAAAGAGATGGCCTAGACACTGAGTGCATAGTGCTCTTCCAGAGGACCAAGATCTGCTCCCAGCACCCACATCAGGGGCTCACAATGTCCTGTAACTCCAGCTCCAAAGGACTTTTTCTGCACTCCTTGGTCATCTGCACGCACATGTGCACAGACCTACACATAAACACATACATATAGACACAATTAAATGTAAAAGAAAATACATAAATCTTTTGAAAATAATCAATCATTTACTGGAAATATAAATATTTTTAAGCTTTTGACATCTTTGTTAGAAAAGCAATTTCACTGAAAACCTTACTGCTTAAATAATTATAATGATTTAAATCACTCATCATTTGTGAAAGTAAGATTAAATTTTGTGCCTTCCGTATCTAAACAACTGACATTTTTTTCATTGATTACAATAAAAAAGTGAATTATTGGAAATAATAGTTTAATTTGAATTATCATTCATACACTCTATATGGTGGATATGATTATTTTTCAAAGAGCCATTTGTTTCACGTAACTTCTATTGGCAGAGTCTATTTCTTCATTCCTTAACTCTAGGTTTTGTTAAACAATATCAGCAGATGTGACAGGAGCAGAAACTGACAGAAAAATCATATGTGTTTGGACTCTATCTAAACAGATAGTGATTATTATATAACACAGAGATAATTGAGGTTGTGAAGAAGAACCTTTTTGAGTTTACAATTAATAAAAACAGAAATCTATTTCAGGGACATTAAATGTCACTACAAATATTCAAATATGTTTTCACAGTGCTAGAAGACACAGTATCAAAATTAAATTTCATTTGTGTATTTAGAAAAAATGACTTCCTCATAGCAACTTGAAAATACTTTGGAACAGTGTTAGACTCTAAATATATTAGTTTAATACAATAAAATGTATAAGCAAGCTTTAAAAGAGTCATTTAACTATATTTGCATGAATAACACCATAAAATGGAAAGAGGCTATAAAAGAATTCGAGCATAGTTTAACTGCAAAAGATTTAAATTGAGAGAAAGGCAGAGTCAGGAGGGGAGAGTGAGGAGGGGCAAGCAATGAAGAGGAGGGAAGGAAAACAAAGCCACCGTTTTCAGAACTCTGATTTAGAGCCCACCCTTGACAGAAGAAGAAGAAATGTATTAAGCAAACTGCAAACACAAAAAAGTTTCAATATTGAAATGTAAATCTTATAAAGTCTACGATATATGTATTTTTCAGAGCTAACAATTTCAGCCCAAATTTCTGGTGGATAAGCAAGCACAGCTAGCTAACACCCAGGCTGCTTGTCATGTGTTTTTTCCTTAAGTGCTTTGTTTGGAATGCCAAGAAAAGCAAAGTACAGAAATAAGTAACAAATGTGAAAACATTAATATTTTGTGTTACATATATGTCCACAGGCCATGGCACAGTGAAAGGTTGAATAACTGAGATATGGGCATGTTTTAAATTTGAGATGTTATTGCATAGTCAAATATGTGGAAACTATGGGATATTGACTAAAACTTTAGTATTTAAAGTGAAAAATCTAAAAATTATAGTACTAAGTTCATACCATAGTTAGAACTTTCCAAAATAAGCACATCATTTTTACATTTTGACTTGTTAAATTTACATGAGAACTTTGTGATACGTTGTCACTAATTAGAAAACTTAAAAAAGCAAGCAAAATGTTAAATTAATAGAATAATGTAAACAAAGGGCTAGTTAACTTACAGTTGTGTAGAGAAGCAAACTGGCAAATTTTCCCTAAAATTAATTTTGAGAATTATTTTATTTATAAATATCATGACAGAAAATGTTCTCTTGGAAATTTGAATTTTGAGATTTTACAGAATAAACAGATATAAAATTCAGAATTATATACACTGAGAAATTAAAATTTCACATTTTGACATGTTTTAATAATTCAAATGACAAATTTAAAATTTTTAATTACTTTGAACTTTTCAAAGGATAATACTTTGTATTTAAAAACATTTGTTTTTTATTTGTTTGTTTGTGTATTTAATGTGTATGATTGTATGGTCTGCATGTATGTAAATGCACCCATGTCAGATGATGACTGTAGAAGTCAGAAGAGTGTCAAATCCTCTGGAACTGGAATTACAGACAGTTATTAACCACCATGTGGATTCTAGGAATACAGCCCTAGTCCTCTGCAAGATCAGCCAGTGCTCTTAACCACTGAGCCATCTTTCCAGTCCTGAAAAATAATTTCTTATTATAAAAAATATCTTATGATTCCTGAAAAATAATGTTCTTAAAATACTATAGATTTAAGTAACCTTTCAGAGTTTATAACTATTTCAAGAACATCATTTCAAAATGCATATTAGACTTTAAATTGCAGTTATGCCTGAATATAATCTGAAAACATGAGTGCATCTAGTTTATATCCAGGTGAATTGTGCCCATGAGATGGAAATAGTATGATTTTATCAAATGAAGTTAAAATATATTAGTTCTTTTCCTCTTTAAAGTGTGTTAGAAGCACTTTAAATCCGATGGTGTTTTTCACTTTATATGTACATCATAAATAAAACATCTGATGGACTATTTCCTGTTTTTTATCATATAAAATGTTACAACCTGGCAGTTGGGGTTGGGAGACGCATAATCCATAAAAGCATATTAAATGGCCGTGGGTTACTTGACTGTTTTATTTTTTTTTAATTTAATAACCACATGATTAGAAGAAGCATTTCATTACAGCTTTAACATATTCAGTAACACACTCCAGAGCAAGAGTACATCTCTTTCACAAATGGCTGCAAGTTTCTAGGTTCACAGTTGAATTAATACAGTTATACAATATTGAGCTCAGTAAAAGGCCTGTAAGACATAAAATTATTGAATGAGTTTTTACCCTTTAAAGATCTCCATTTCATTTTAAAATACGTTGTTTCCTACATTTTTAATGCTACTAATGCTTAGATTTTTGCACGTGTCTTTAATCTCTATGTACCTGATGATTACTAGTCACGGTCAGTTACACTCAGATCCTTAGTACCTGAGTATGGATATAAAGTCATCAGGTAGATTTAACTGGTAATGTTTATCACCTCTACTATTTAACATGAAGTAAATTTTTATGCTTCCTCCTCAAATATGTCTTTTTTCTTAATTTGTTGATTTTTCTGAGTGTATATCATACAGAACATCCCACACAATCTTATTCATCTATATACCCACTTCCCAAATAGCACCATCTCATAGCCTCCCCCCTCCCACATACTGGAGCCCACATACTCTGTCATCCCTGCTACTGTCCACTGTGTTGTCAACACCCTCAGCTATTCTCCAGTGCTTTCCTGTCTGCTGAATCTAGTCAGCCTGTCTAGAGATCCTTATTTTAGGAAGATCAGCTGTTCCTCACCTAGCAGCAATCAGTTGTTAATATTCCTTTATATAAGATTGTGGTATGTTGTTCATTTTCCCAGTTCTATGCTGGGTTACTGTCTGGGAGCCTCTTGGGCCCCCTTGGCCAATAACTCAAAGGAAGGTATCACCTGTCTGACATTATTATGTAGACTTTAGCTATACATATGGACTCTTAACAATTATATTGAGCCCATTAATCTTTGGTTATACATTCCTTTTGGGTATTTAAGACCCTACAGTTGGCCCAGATAAAATAATTTATTTTTGCTCTTAAGGTCGTTTGAGGATCTGTCCCTCAGGGGTAACATGGGTTTGGGAGGAGCCCCTGGCTCCTTTCTTTTACTAGTTCCTTCTATGAGAAGATAAGTCAAAGGTCCTGGTCAACCATGGCTGGCTTCGCTTGGAAGCACAGAAGAAATGTTTCCTCTGTGTTGACCCTTCTCTTTGTAGACTAGACACTGGTTCAGGTCCATCTGGTGGGGTCTCCACAGCCACCTTGCTTAAGAGGACAGGTGACTCACCACAGCTACAGGACATTTTGAGAGATGCTCATAGTCCCCTGGAACTTAGTCGACCTAGGAGGGTAATGAGCAAAAACTATACTTTACATCTCCCTGACCAAATTAGTATAGGCCTCAAAGTATGGCTGTTAAAAATCAATGAACGTTAGTTCCACCAGTCTGGTAGTTTTAATTACCATGTTCCATGTAGACAGAGCTTGGGCAAAGACCAAACGCTCTCAGATAAACCTTGCTGAGGCATATATTACATTCTTTGTTCTGGTTGTATGTATAATATGTCAGTAGGTTGTTGGCCTAATATGTTTCCCTCTGGTTTTCTAAAACTAACTAGGCGTTGTTTATCTCCCACGTTGTCTAAGTCTTCTACCATGGTTTCCCCATTCAAGGTGCCCCCATTTTTTTCCATTTCTTCCTTAATAATA